TCTCTCTGTATTCCTGAGAAAAAATGGTCGCATTCTTGTAGGTTTTCTGAGCCTTGCCCTTTCTTTTTAGTCTCGGTAAGTACTAAAATATCCATTTTTGATTTATTGGCTTCCAAAATTACGTCGTTGAATTTATTGAAGAGTCCTTGAACGTTCCAAGTACTAATATTCATAGTCCATTTTCTAAGCTTAAGTCGTGTTTGTTTGTTCAATCATTTCCGAGGCCTGTTACTGAAGGTTTTAACCTTTAAAGTTTTTTAAAAATTAACGAGGGGTTAACCTGATGCCTCAACTCCCATCCTGGAGGACCGGAGCTTTGATTTCGGAATGCCGCTCCTAGATCGGTTGCCTTCTCTACGGCTCAAAGAGACCTGTCTTCCCTTTATTTCTTTTATTTCATCCCCTACAGGTTGGGTTGCCATATCAACTGGATCCCCAAGCCGTTGTGGTCTTCAACCGTTACCCTGATCAAGGAATCCTTAGCAGGTACTAGTTTCCTGGTCAGGAAACACCTAGAATCTGCGTAAGGCAGCGATCGATTCACTTTCCCTGATAGGACTATCCGAAAAGAAGTTCCTACCGGCTACCTATTGTCGTTTTAATCAGGTTGCATTAATCTCCGCTACCATATCAGATTCTCCATAAATCATAAATCCTTGGTTTTTACTTTTTATTCTCTACACTATTTGCTCATGAACACCTAAGTAGACCTTTCTTATAATCTCTCTTTCACCTATGTCTGTAGTTGATCTTCCCTCTTTTTTATAACTTTCAGTTTATCTCCCATAGAATACCATAAGCGTTATTTCTACATTTTAATTTTAATTTCGTACTGATCAGTCAACTTTGAAATATTTATTTAGTATGAAGAAACACCGATCCCCAGCTACAATCCTTGACTTTTTTAGAAAAAGCTACATCAACCATGAAGGATTATTAACGGGTGAATGATTACAATATAATATAAATTTCTGTACAGATAAAGTTTTTTTTTTAATTATTTTTTTTTTTTTTCATTTTTAGAAAAGAAAATAAAAAACCTTTTTAACATGTACCTTTTGGACAGATATATACCCAACAAATGGCAGAATACTGAGGTAATTCTATTGTAAAAAAAAAGGAGATCCCATGAATTAGAAAACTACAGACCTATAAGTCTTCTTAGTCACCTATACAAACTCCTTACAAGAATAGTAACGAATCGTCTTAAGAAAAAATTTGATTTCTATATACTATCAAATACTATCTACCACTGGATTTTGTAGATTTCCATAAAGCCTTTGTCATAGTAGAATTTGACAAAATCCTGGAAGCACTACAAGCATGCCGCATTAACTACCGATATACAAGGTTAATTTACAATACATACATGAACGCAACTATGTCGGTGAAACTACATAAGAACATGGATCATATCCCAATCGGTAGAGGAGTCCGACAGGGTGATACCTTATCGTCTAAACTGTTTACTGCAGTACTAGAATATGCTTGTGAAAAACTTAACTGTGAAGAGAAAGGCTTGAACAATGACGGTAGAAGATTAACAAACTTGAAATTCGCAGACAACATAGTTTTGTTCTCTGACAACCTCAAGAAGATATGTACAATGCTACATGAACTTCAGTTAGTGTGTGCCAGTATCGGTCTTAAAATAAACATCTCCAAAATAACATTCATGATAAACATAGTACCTAGCGGAAATATCAATATTGGAGATAACGAAGTAGAGCTGGTGGAAAAATACATATACCTTGGACATGAAATAAAGATCACAAGAGTTAAATAAACATGCGAACTACGAAAAAGAATAAACCTAGCTGGGCAGCCTATGGAAAACTCAAAGATATCTTTAAAAGCAATATACCAATTTCTTTAAAACGTAAAACATTTGACCAATGTGTGTTGCCTGTGAGGACCTATGGTGCCGAAACTTTGAGATTCCCAGCTACAACTTCTAAAACGCTGCAAATAGCTCAGAGGAAAATGATAAGGTCAATGCTGAGTATATCGCTTTGTGGCTTAGCTAGAAATGAAGACTTAAGGAGAACAAAAGTTACCCATGTAATTTTTACACTGAAAAGACCAAGGTTAGACAAAAGAAGTAAAGGAAGACCCCTACTCGTTGGACCGAAGATCTCAAGAAAATGTCAAGAAATCGGATAAAAAGTGCTCAAGGTAGATCACAATGGACACAAATGAGATGGCCCATGTTCAGCAGTGGACGCAAAGGGCTGGGTGATGATGATGATGATGATGATGATGATGATGATGATGATGATGACAGATAAAGGTAAATAAATTTCTTACGTTAAAAATCAATTTAGGAAATTGCCCAAGTATGTGCTTTCTAAAAAACTGATATGTTTACAATTTGCGTTCCGTAACACGTCACTTTATATAGGCAAAAATCCTTCACGAACCGATTTCTAGTACTTCGTGAGTGAATATATTATGGTAAGAAAGACAGTTGAGATTTAATTTCAATACAGAACATCACCATTCACATACGTATTTCATCCTTATGGAATCATCAGAGCGAACTTGTAGTAAACTCTATGAATGAAATCCGGATTTCTATTGTTTTTAAAAGATGTCGCTATAGCGTCTGTGTGTAAATATTTGTAAATAATTACTAATACGATAGAAATATTTGATAGATATGGTAGATAATTCTGGAAAACACATCAGCATGTCTAAAATATTCTGAAAACAAGTTTATGTTTTTTTCTTTCTTCAATTTAAGAGAAATACGTACACAGGTCCATAAAAGTTCCTTTATAATTATGTGGATAAATTGAAGAGTGCACTTTTAGTAGATCCATTCACTTTTGGTGGAGTTACAGACTTTCTCCTTATTTCAATTTCTAAAATCTTCTTTTTAATTATTACTAGAACGGCACTGCGTCACCTTGTTTATAATGTGGAGCGGGTGCTAAATCGGAAGTTATACAGCCGGGGTATCTTTATGGATATTGAGGGCGCCTTTAATTGCACTACTTTTGATTCCATATGTCATATGTTATGCTGCGGAAAGGTGTAAAGGTGGATCTGGCCCCTGCTTACTTTGAGGTATATAGCTGCGTAACAAAAACGTTGTTGCATTCGGGTGTCGACGTCTCGTAGCTGCTCTCAGAGTTTTGTCCCTCCTGCTGTAGTGCCTGGTGGTTAACGGCTTTCGTCAGCAACTGTCCGAACAAGGTATATATGCGCAAGCCTACGCTGATGACGTGCTTATACTCGTTGAGAGACTCCGCGAACGGTGCACGAGGTCGCTGAGGTGAACCTCGGGCTCGTTGAGGAATGGTGCCGAAAACAATCACTTGGAGTAAATCTTGAGAAGACTTCGAGAACCTACTAGAGAGCTTACTTTCTGTGGTAAGGATTTATCGGTTTTGATAAAGTAAAGTTTCTAGGAGTGATCCTGGATCCCAAACTTTCGTGGAAGGAACATCTCAGCGTCAAGGTAATGGAGGCCGCTGAGGAGGCTTCGGAGCCAAATGGGGTCTTTAGCCAAAAATATAAAGTTGAAGTTACCAATTCATGATAAAGCCTATACTGACGTATGTTGCCATTGTGTGGTGGCCTCGAGCTAGACTGTTTTTAGCTGAGGCCCAGTTGACTTACCTTCAGCGGTTGGCATCTTAGGAACCGTGAGGACCACTTCCGCAGCGGCTCTTAAGGCTCTGCTGGATTTACCTCCTCTACATATTGTAGAGCACGAAGCCATGATGGCAGCCTATTGTCTCAACTGCTCTGGATACTGGTTGGGAATGAGTAATCGGATAATCCATTGTGACATTTGGAAACAGGCCCTCGATTGTTGTCCTGTGCTCTCTATGGTACAGGACAGCATGCCCCCTAATTTGAGTTCTCATCCTGCTTCTTAGTTCTGAACGAGAGTATGCACTGATCCATAGAAGAGGGCTCACCTGGTTCACGGACGATTCCAGAGTAGACGAGCCGACAGATGCTGGTGTATGTGGTAACGAGCGGCCAGGGTCTTGGCTCCCATGCATCAGTCTTTCAGACCTAGATCTTTGTGATCCTGGTATTTGCTCAGGAAATAATATATAGGGCTTGCTCAGACAGGACTATCTCTAAGGGCTACAGGCTTTGGAATCGCCCAAAGTTAACTCTAACCCGGTTATTGAGTTGAAGACAGCACTTCCTGATGAGCTGACCAATAGAATTAACTTAGTATGGGTACCGGGATACATAGGCGTAAAAGGGAACGAACGGTCTGACGCCCTGGCTAGACAAGGCTCATCCACTCTGGCCGCATATAGTGCTGTATGTGTAATGAGGACGAGGAAACCTCCTCACACGTCCCCTAGGAGTTCCCGGCACTGGCTCATTAAAGGTGGCGGATTCTGGTTTCGGCGTCGTTAACCTTTAGATATACGAGTCCGGAGCAGCATGTGCCCCAGAAACGCCAAAGACTAGGTCCTATGGGCCTAGTCCATATAATAGGGGTGATACAATGGATCCGTCTTAGGTCTAAGCGTCTGAAGGGCTCACAAATGGGCCCTGCCTCTATCTACCATAACCATACCAATAGCCGATTATTAGTAAAATTATTTAATGAATTTCTTTGCAGTCAGTGGATGAATGTCGTGTCATTCTAATAAAATATTTAAAAAATGTACGCTTTCTGTCAATGTTTAATATATTGGAAAAGTGGTGATAAAAAACAGTAAATGATGATTATTTTCTGGTCATAAAACTAATAAAAATTAGTTTTATTGTAAAATCCTACCACATCGTGCTTAAAGTATATTTATTCATTGCAAAATGTTATTAATTTTGTTTTATCATCTGCCATTAATTTTTATTTTTTGCATTCACAAATAGAAACAGCTAAAGATAATAATAGACTGTAATATTTAACAATGATGATAATTGCTTTTTAAACACGTAAATCTAGTTATAATGGTCACAGTAAAAGTGTAAAAATAAAAATCAAAAGTGACATTGTGTTAATGAAAAATAAATATAGAAATTTTAAAGATACTTATAAAAGAAATATTTTCTTCGGCATGTTTAGTTGAACCGAAAGTTTTAGTAAAATGCGTAGTGTATTTATTATTTTTGTTTTTCTTACTGTCATTGCTCTTTGTAGTTGTGCTGGTACTAATCATAAGTTAGTTAAAAAACACAAGCATTGCCACAAGTGGTTGATTTGTAAGTAATTTTATATAATTCTTGTAATTTGTAAGTAATTTTAAGCATATGTGTAATAGTCTAATTTTAATAACTTTAAAAGATAGAAATCGTCCTAAGTAATTATATATTAAACAGGATTATATAAAAAAAAGTTCCAATATGGATTAGCAGCACAATTACTTGGATTGCATTTACTGCTTCTCTAAAGAGCTGGTTAGATGAGTAGTTAAAGTATTCTTTGAAATTGCAGACCCAAGACATTCGTTGACATAACGTGACCAAGATATTTAAATTTTTGTATCTTTATTTGATCAACTGGCTCTGCTCCTTTTGATAACTTTTGCAAGACATCTTTTGGTAACTCTATCAGCGTAGCTGATTCAGTACAATATAGGAAGATATATAACATATCAGTATAGTAATTTTGAGATATATATTTAGAATTTTATTCCTAATTTCTCTTGCATTGCATGGTCAAGATATTGAATTTTGGTCTGAAGCTACTTTCTTGTGGCATTTTAAAGTAATTACTATTTAAATGGGAATAAGCCACAATTAAAGGTTAAAGTACGTTTATTGACGTTTCAATTGCCACTTCGGAAATCGTTCTCAAAATACAAACATTAGCAAATTAAATTTAAATTTAAATTTAATTTTATCTGACTCATTTATATTAACAATTCAAACATACATTATACATTTTAAAGTAGACGACTTTAAAATAATGATATTGAGAAATATTGTTGTGTTGCTTTCCTGAGACGTCTTTACTTGTAAGATAGTTCATTCGATTACATAAAATCAACTTTAATTTGAGAATATTTGTCAGAAAAAATCATAGCATATAATTCGTCTTTAAAACGACAAACACATGCCATAATGACAGTAAAATTCTCCTGTTAGTGATTCCATAGTAAATTATGAGGGAAAACGCAGGACAAAAACCTCATAATACTATCCCGACATGGTAAGTATTTGGTTGTGCATTTAGTTTACTTTCAATAGACACCAAACTCTGATTTTATATGTTTGTTATTTAAAAAAAACATAAATGATGTATCCTCTATTATATGTTACTGACTTACTAATACTGGTATTTTCCTTTTAATAACTTCCTCTTTTAACCTTTTCGGTCACGCTTTTTTTTAGTGTAATGAAATATATTTTGTTAATAATTCCAAATTATTCCCAGTTATGGTATTCTTAATGTCTCTTGGTAGGAATGGTTGGTAGAATTAAATTTTTTATTAAATGGTTTTTTTATTAAAATAGGGGGCCCGTTTTTGATGTTGTCAATTGACGACATTGTGACTAACTGTAATATTTACTTAAACGAAGTTAAAATTCTTGTGTCGTCAATTGACGACACAGTGACTGAAAGGGTTAATTATGGGTAACCAGATCTTACTACATTCTGTATATATAGACTAGATATATATATATATATATATATATATATATATATATATTATATATATATATATATAATATGCATGGTTACATATTTGATATCTATCAAATTCTCTATTTTTAATATAAGATTGATGTTCACTTATTCTAACATTTAATAGCTTTGATGTTTCACCTAAATAAAACTTATCGCATTCACAAGGTATTTTATAAATAAAATTCCTTGTCATTTCTTGTTCATTGTTAGGTTTGGTTTTAGACCAAATAGATCTCAATATGTTTTTTGTTTTTAATGTTGTTGAAATGTTGAATTTGTTTCCTATCCTTTTAAGTTTTTCTAATAATCCTTTTATATATGGTATTGTTATTTTCTTCGTATTATTCTTTGTGTATGCTGTAGGATCTCGTTCTAAGTTGTTCTGTTCTATTCGGTCGATTGCTGAAAATTCCTTATTTATAAACGATGAAGGATAATCTTTTTTTAATAAAACAGATGGTACCAAATGTTTTTCCTTCAAGAACGAATTTTAAGTATCGTATATCGTATAAGTATTTAATTATTTCCTTTTTAATATTAATATTGTGATTTGATTTGAAATTTAAATATCTGTTGGTGTGTGTTGGATTTCTATTTACCTGAGTCTCATATCCAGTATCGTTTTTAGAGATTAAAACATCCAAGAAAGGTAGTATGTTATTACATTTTTTTTCAGTTGTAAATTTTATTGTCTCTTCTTTATTTTTTATATTATACAGGAATGTGTCTAACAACTCTGATCTATGAGGAAATATTAAGAATACATTATCTACATATCTCCACCATACTATGAGTTTTAAATTTTGTTTAGAAATAATATTTGTTTCAAAATTTCCATAATTATGTCGGCTAATAATGGAGATAAACTAGAGCCCATTGCTAGTCCAAAATTTTGTTTATTGAATTCATTATTTAGTTGAAAATATGTATTATCAGTACATAATGTTATTACTTCCATTATAGCTGATAGGTTTAGTCTTGTTCTAGTTGCCAAATTGATAGATCTAAAATATGTAAACATGCATGGGATAATGAACATAGGGTTTAATGGAATTATTCAAATAGTCCTAAAAGAAACGAATGGTAAAAAAAAATGTCAAAGGAGCGGCTCTAATTATGCTAAATGAGACCAATTGTGTTGCAAATTTCTCGGCAGAATGTAGTAGGATCTGGTTACCCATATTAAAAGAGAAAGTTATTAAAAGGAAAATACCAGTATTAAAAAGTCAGTAACATATAGAGGATATATCATTTATGTTTTTTTTTTTTAAATAACAAACATATAAAATCAGAATTTGGTGTTTCTTGAAAGTAAACTAAATGCCCGCCCAAATACTTACCATGTTGGAATAGTATTATGAGGTTTTTTTTCCTGGGTTTTCCCCATAATTTACTATGGAATCACTAACAGGAGAATTTTACTGTCATCATGACATCCTAGGAACGCAATTTAATAATATGTCTGAATTGTCAATATAAATGAGTCAGATAAAATTAAATTATTAGAAGAATTTTTTACCATGTAACAAAAAAACAAAATTTGTTTAATTTACTAATGTTTGTATTTTGAGAACGATTTCCGAAGTGGAAATTAAAACGTCAATAAACCTACTTTCTCCTTTAATTGTGGCTTATTCCCATTTAAACCGTAAGATATTCAATTGTTTTACTTATTTTTTTTTAGTTGATTTTACCATCGTGTAGGTGGTCGTCCTCTGTTTCCCTTATCTGTCTTTGGATTTCATTCCAGTATTTTGCGAATGCGTCATCTATCCATCTTCCTTCCCCACGACGGTTTTTATTTTCACCAATTTGTATAGTTTCTGTCACATCTATAAACCTACTTAGTTGTATTTCGTAGATCTTCATTTTGTCTTTTGGTGTGACACATGTCATTGATCGTTCTATTATCTTTTTGATACTATTAGTTTCGAAACTTTTTCTTTTGTGACTGAAAGTGTTTCTGTATCACAAGTCATTAGTGGTATTACACACTGATGGAATACTTCTTTCTTCATATTAATTATTAAAGCTGCATATGCCACTTATTTAACCCTTATAATACCAGATTTTTTATAACACGTAATACCAATGCGGTCGATAGTGACCCCAAATTTCATCCCCCAAAGTCTATTAAACAGTGTAATAATATTTGCAAAAAAATAGTTATTTATATAAAGCACACACAGTAAATTTAAAGTTTTAAAATACTTACGTAAATTATAGTAAAAATAATAATAGTTTTACAAATTGTTTGTTGTACATTTAAGGCAAGATCCTTACAAATAAATCGATTGCACTTCTGACATCTCTGGGGATACTTTTTGTCCAAATTTCTGCGGCGTTTCTAACATCTACCACGTTTTAATTCTCCAGGTTTTTCCGGATTATCTTGTGATGTACAGTTTATCAAACCTAGGAATAAGTTTGAAAATCTTACAATCGCCCACCAGATGCGCACTAAAATTATCGGGAATATATTAGTAGAAGTAAATAACTGGACCTATAAATTTCGGTGGGTTCAGTCTGCGACAGAGTTTTCTTAAAGAGCAGTGACAGTTACTTTAAATGGAATTTAAATCAAAATTGAATCGAAAAATTTTGTCCGGTCAAAACCGAGAAAAGCGTGGAAAAAGCGATGTAAACACGCTAAACAGTTGTTTAGGGAAAAAAGGAACCTAAATTTCATTTTTGATCAAATAATAATTAATCTTTATGAAGACAGTAGTAGTGATTTTAGTGAGGATAATTCCGAGTCTGATAGTTATTTTTCAGGAGTTGTGCCTATATAAACATTTTACCCTTCTTAACTATTGTTTCTTATAGCTACGTCTTTTCTAAGTTTTAAAATGTTCTTTTTCGTCCATTTCTAAGGCTCTATAAGTTTTTTAATTATATATTTTTTGGCTTTTTTTGTTTCAATGTTCAAGAAAGGCGATAAAGAAGACCCAACAATTATAGAGGTATAAATCTACTGAACATGGCACTTAAGCTTACCACAAAAGTCATAACCAATAAAATCAATAAATTAACAATTTTATCAGATGAACAATAAGGATTCAGATCCTGAAGATCCTGCGTAGACGCCGTACTTGTACTAAGACAAATCACAGAAAACCATAGAGTACAATAAACCAGCATATCTATGTTTTATATACCTGACAAAGGCTTTTGATCGTATCCAAGTCGAAGACGTCTTACATCTACTGTATAAAAAAAAGACACCAATCAGTATTATAAAAACCATCGAAAACATCTACCTCCATAATCGAATACAGGCAAAGATAAATGCAAAACTAACACAGTGTATACCAGTACAAAGCGGAGTCAGACAGGGTGGTTCGTTAAGCCCACTTTTCTTTAATATAATAATGGACGAAATAATATAAGCAGGTCGTAAAGGTCATGACTACAGAATGGGGAACAAAGAAATCCAAATATTATGTTATGCAGACGACGCCGCATTAATCGCCGAGACAGAAGATGAGCTCCAAAGATGAATCAAAGATAGACATATCTTCAATATAACAGCTAAGAAATACAATATGATAATATCAGCAAAAAAACCAAATGTATGACAACATCTCAATACCCACTACGGTGTAAAATCGAAATTGATGGGAAAATAATAAAGCAGTGCTATACGTGCTATAACTGGGTAAGTGCAGTTGTATAGGTAATGCCGCTAAGAGATTAGGCATTGAAATGTGCAACAAGTTGATAACTTAAGATATCGAGTTGTAGTATTAAACAAAGGATGATTTATAAAGTTATCTACTTCTGAAAGTTAGTTATATTGATTCAAAAGGTGCTTTGTGAAATGTCCGGTTGTACCATAACATGAAGACGATATATTTACATCTATTAGTAAACTTATCTCAAAAATGAAAATTTAATTATCTAGTTGTAGTATTGAGGTGACGATATCTGTTTGAAAGTTTGCATTTATAATGAGATTTCAATTGCAACCAACTATAGTAGACTATAATTGTAAAAATTATATTTTAGTACAGAAGTTTTATTTTTTGGCGTTCCTGGCCTTCAAATTTAAAGCCATTTTGGTGATTGGTTCCATCTGGGCGATCACATTCATATTCGGAAAAGTTTTCGCAGCCTTTAAACTGGCTGAATACATGAAAGGAAGTAATAGTAAGTATATAATTATATTTTTATGTAACTACACAAATAGTTGTTACGATTAATAAAGTTAATATATGCACACAACCAAACTTGGAATATCAATTTAAAAAATCGGATTGGAATTGGAATTTGGAATCGAATTTCAAAAAACAATTCCCAAAACTTTTGGGAGATATTCGTTGGACTTTCCGAGTTTGAATTTGTATCAGCGCAAGTGTCTGATCAGGCTGGGATAGGCCGAAATGATCATAACACTTTATGGATACCGATTCGAGCACGGGAAGTTTAGCGAATATGTCCTCCTAGGTCATTTAATATAATAAAGCGATAGCGGCTTTCGCTAAAAGATTTAATCTTTTACGTATATACCTATATATATATATATATATATATATATATATATATATATAATATATATATATACCGGTACGGAACGAAAACCTATATACGTTAAGCTTTGCAGACGATCAACTAGTGATTGCACAAGACCAAGACGACCTCAGCTACATGATGAAGAAACTACAAGAAGAATATACCAAGGCTGGCCTAGATGTTAACCTCGCGAAAACAGAGTATCTATCTACAAGTGAAGAAGACATAGAAGATCTACAGATTGATGACAACGTAAAAATCAAAGGAAAGGATAAATTCAAATACTTGGGGTTTATAATCACGAAAAAGGCAACAACAGAGGAAGAAATTACACAAAGATTAGGACAAACAAGGGTTGAGTTTACCGAAAGTACAAGCTGATTATAGCTGCAAATGTCAAACATGGAACAAAAAAATTCGGTTTAGCAGTGTTGGCATGTTTTATATTGTATAAGCTGTATGCTTCAAATGTAACAGATAAACCTTTAGAAAAGTACGATTTGATTATATTATGTTATGAATTCTGCAATTTTTGATTTATGTAAAACAAGAATGAGTAAATATTTGTTTCTTTGAAGATTAACTGAAGTTAATTATTGGAATTTTTTTTGGCAATTGCCCTTTGATAGATTAGATGATAGATTTGGCAATCGTCAAATTAGCAGTTGCCAGATTGCAACAGTTGTTGGCAATTAATCTTGAAAGAGACAAATATTTACCTAATCGTTATTTTTCATATAAATTAAAAATTGCAGAATTCATAAAATAGTATAATCAAAAAGTACTTTCTAAAAGCTTTCTCTCTTTATATTGGAAGCATAAAACATTATAAAAACACCAAAACACTGCCAAACCGAAATATTTTATTTCATGGTTGACATTTGGGGCTATATTCAGCTTGTACTTTCGATAAACTCAACCGAAACAAGAACAGCAATCCGACAACTTAACTCAGTATGGTGGGATAGACACCTAAATATGAAGACAAAAACACAGATTTATAAAACATTAGTGCGAAATATTATGACATATGGGACTGAAAATCGGATTATAAAGATAGTAGCAACAGAGATTTAATGCCTGCGAAGGTGCTGCAGAGTAACAAGAATGAATAGGAGAAGTAATGACGAAATATAGCAAAGAACATCAATAGAAACAGACATACTAACATATATAGAGCAAAAAAGACTAAAGTGGTATGGACATGTAAGAAGAAGCGACACCAGATGGATAAAGAGAATAACCGAATGGAGCCCTGTAGGAAGGAGGAAAAGAGGACGACCCCAAAGATCTTGGAAGAACGAAGTAGACGACGCCATGAGTAAGAGAGACATAAACGATAGAGAATGGGACAACAGAGAGAGATGGAAACGGTTGAGCAAGGGAAGACAGTGAATACTATAGAATCTCCGAATATTATATATATATATATATATATATATATATATATATATATATATATATATATATGTACAAGGTTAACAATGTCAAAGCCTACCTTATAAACGTACTAATTTGGATACACCACGTCAACGATGTAATATTTTAAGGATGAAACCTATGAAAAAATGTTTGCATCCAAAGTAGCTGATAGCAATTGCCGAATCTTGTTTCCGAAATGTTAGTGGTATACGAAAAAAATTCTTTTGGTAAATATATGTTGTGTATTTATTGTGCATATAAAACATATACAGTGTAGGTAAAAGTTTATGGTCGGTATGGTAAAATTTAACAGGATATCTAACGCAGATATAAAATCATATTTTCAGCGAATAGACAAAGATAACAATCATATTTCCCCTTGGTCTCCCCTCTGGTAAACTGTAACTAGTTGATTGTTTACCAGTATTCAAATTAGCGAGTACACAAACATATTGGCTATTAACATTTATGTGTATCAGTATTGAAGTGAAAGAACCGAACGAAGGATATATTTCTTATAACTTGAAAAATAAATTAAACAATACAAATAGTACTTATATTTACATTACACATTAATAAATCGCGAATCGTCTAAATCGACATTTAAAAACAAGTTTTTCCACTTTTCTTGTTAACCGTGTTCTTCTTTTATTTAAAATTAAACCAGATTTTAAACATGTGTTCACAAGGAAAAGATTTTATTACAATACTACAATATTTTATGAATATAGTGGTTAAGTTAGGATATACATGACGATGGTTTTTCCACCACGGTAATGGACAGTTCCAATCTCCGTTCGAAATTTTTTGTGGGTAATATATCATCAGACAAATACATGTCGACTTCTTTTATATCTCTCGTTACAGGTGTATGTTTAGATGAGTCACGTCCAATTAATTCATCAAAAATACACCATGGACTTAGTCATCTTTATCAGTTTCTTTTTTTTTGTACTGGTTGATTTTCAAGATTTACTAAACTTATGCAAAGACTCGTTTCATCCGTTTTCCATAGGTGAAGAACCAGCTTGTAAAAAGTTTGCAGGGTGGATTCCTGGATATAAACTGCCAACAAGAAAAACTGTCAGGTTCATTACTTCAGGAATGTTATGTCAAAACTGATTTAATAATAGATAAAATAAAAAGTCCTATTTTCGACAATTCTACAAAAAACACATTTAAAAAAAGTACCTTATCTTCAGAAAGGCTTTTAAAGTAATAATTACAACATAACAAAGTTCCAATCCAAGACGTGGAAACTAGGTAGAACTTCACCTACTACATGTTAAAAAAAATGACCGAGTTAGAAGAGGCAATCCATTCCACATCGGTATTAAATAATACAGACTTAGACCAAATCTAAATAAATAACACTGGATTATTTGTTCTCAGCTTTCCCAAATTTTACGGCCGTTTAAAGAAATAACAAGTACAATGAGTGACCAAAAATACTTGAAGGGTAGTTCAGTGATTGTTATGGTACACTGCCTGCAAGAATCTTGCAATAAAATTTTAGCAAACGGTAAATTTAGCAATAAGGTTTAGCAAACCTTACATCCATAGTATCCGACGTAGTACAGTTACTAATATCGGGTTTAGCAAAAAGATTTAAAGTGATAGAACAGAGTGGCACATTGTTATTATGTACATTTATGGATTCACCATTTAAAGTGCAGGGTTTTTCTGAGAAAAATGAAGATAAAAAAATTAAAGAAAAAGTTAAGAAGCTGGTTACTTCTATAATTAACGAACAAGAAGATTGTACTATTGAAAATCAAAGAGTACAAGAAAAAGAAACCAATAAAGATGACTTAAATCCATGGTGTATTTTTGATCAATTAATTGGAGATGGCTCATCTACGCGTACACCTTAATCGAGAGTCCATTACAACGGTGGAAAAACCATCGCCATGTATATCCTAACTTAACCACTATTAGTATTGTAAATGTGAACACATGTTCAAAATCTGGTTTAATTTGAAATAAAAAACGAAGACGGTTAATAAGAAGTAAAGTTGAAAAAACGTATGTTTTTGAATGTCAATAACGTGTAATGTAAATGTAAGTACGAGTTACTATTTGTATTGTTTAGTTTATTTTTTAAGTTATAATAAATAAATCATTAGTTATGATAATAAGTAATAATTATTATATTAAGTAATTAATATATAATAAGTAATAATTAAAATAAATAATAAGTTATAATAAATAAAACTACTTTTAAACAATCATAGTTACTTGTTTACAAAAATTTAAATTTTTAAATGCCTTCATTTTTTTGGAATCCTGAGAAAATTAACAAATATTTTTGAAAAATTTAAATGCAGAATAAAAGATTACATTATTACCGAGGGCCAAAAGTCCCTTAGAATAAACAAAAAGGTTTTTGAATAAGATATTTGAAATTAAAAATCACACTAATTTTTTTTTCACCCCTATAACTTATTAAAAAAAAACATTATAGAAGTTTTCAGGGACTTTCGGCCCTCGGTAATAATGTATTGTTTCATTCTGCGTTTAAATTTTTCAAAAATATTTATTAGTTTTCTCAGAATTCGCAAAAAATTAATGCATTTAAAAAATATTGACTACCACGACCCACCTCTACTACTCGTTACTCGGCCGGCCAAACCAGACCAGACCGACGTTACCAAATAATTATTGTGTATGAATATTTTTTAATGTAGCGTTATTGTATGCAGTTTATTATTTCATATTGAGAATAAGGCACAATGTGACTTTAAAATAAGCTTATTTTGATGTTAAGATTTTTAATTCGGAAATCATACTTAATATACGAAACATTAATAAATTTTATTTATATAAAACGATTTCCGAAGTGGAAATCAAAATGTTATATTACACTTATTGTAAAGTAAACTTGTGGCATATTCCCAATAAAAAAACAGTAAGCTGCCATTTAAATCAATTTCGCCCAAATTGGATTATCTTAGAACATTGTTCAAATGCAAAAAAAAAACAGCAGATCAAATAAATCCAATAAGTTTGGCAACGTTGAACTTCCCCTTTCCAGGCATGCATGTTTGGCGATATAAAGGACGGACCTAATATACCTCTCTCTTTCTAAACAGCTGTTTCTCACTCCATCTCACGTAAGGTCCATACCGACCATAAGCTTTTCCTACACTGTAGATTTACCAAAAAGAATACATTACATTATTGACTTAACATATAATGTTTAACTGGGATAAAATATCGGGGATAACTATATTCAAATTAATCCGCTGTCGAATTCACATCGGACAATGTGGCCGATAATGTGACATCACTTCAGTCGTTGATCAGCTACATGTAAAAATATTAACGTGTTCCATCCTTAGTATATTACATCGTTGCACTATATATATATAATATATATATATATATATATATATATATATATATATATATATATATATATATATATATGATTTCAATATTTAAAAAAATATACAACTTAAATGGATTTTTATATGAGTTTGTTGTTCATGAATTTCACAATGTGGGTTCGACTCTGAAATAAAAGAGAGAAAAAGATTAGTAAATTGTTAAATAAATTAATTTTGACTTACCTGGTATAGTGTTAATAATTTCTGAATAGTATAGTTGCCTAGTGTATAGGTGAATCGTCTAAACCTTAAAAAGAACAAAAAGAAGAATTCTTAAAAAAATATTTAAACATAGAAATTTTAATAAACGTCCGAAAATAAACTGTCAAGCAAGTCTGTGGGAGCAAAATTAATAGAGGTTTTGTTAAATAAGAAATTACAATGCTGTGGAGATGAAAAGAATAAATTGTATTAGTATTGTAATAGAATAAGTTTTATATCTGAACATTTTTTTTAATTCCCAAATTAGATGTGATTAAAGTGATTATGAGAAATTAATGTGGATTGATAAATGTATCAGAACAGGACAGTTTTATGGTTTAATAAAATAGAAGACGAAAAGAAAAAAGAACGTTGGTTGCTGTTAGCAACGGATAATAATTGGTTTTTTTGGGGACGCCAACGAGGATTTTTGGACGAAGAGAGCCCTGAAACTGTGGAATAGGTCGGGAGTGTTTTTTAACTCGTCTAATTAGAATTTAGTTTTTCCACAGTTTCCACAGCAGAGTTATCCAGAATTTGTTCCAGAGAGTAAGAGAAACAATTTGACATAAATTATATTGGAGTATAGAAATGTCATTTAAATTGAGAAAATTAAAATTCATGAATTAACATAATTGCGATAGGCCTTAAAAATTGAAAATATTAATGATCATTAAACTAAAAATAGAATAGTACGTACCTTAACTTCCGAAGAGAGGATTGATATTCCAGTTTCACCGATTATTTTGCGAGTAGTTAGTTTTCTTTAAAGAAATCAGAACTGTTTTAAAGTGAGGTTGGATAATAATTTTGGGGATCATTTGAAATTTTGATTATATTTGAATGCAAGTTTAATGTCAGCGGAATAAAGTGTTCAGTTTCTTTTTCTTTATAGTTCATTTAAACACTTTATAAAGTTGCAATATTTATTTAGTTTTTAGGTGCTTGTAGAGAGTCTCCACATTTTGTAATAAATTTTTATTGTCACGTCACTAAACCACGTTAAGATTTACACGATTCCTATTTTTGTAAATTTTTAAAGGCAACCCAAGTTGCAGACGAATTTTATTGTTTATATTAAATTTGTTCAATATTAATAAATAACGTGCTTCATTAGGGTTAATTTATCAAAAGTCTAAAGTAAATTTTGGTTTAATTTCTTTTTGAACTCTACCAATAGACTACAGAGTCGACGTCACACAGTGACAGATTGTTTAGAACACATAATTGAGCTAGCTGAGGTATATATTAAATTAAACAACGAACCACATATTTTAAAATAAAAATTACATTTATTATAAAAAAAAATAAAATTAATAAAATACAACTTTTTCAATATATATATATATATATATGTATATATATATATATATATATATATATATATATATATTTATATATATATATATATATATATATATATATATATAATAAATAGTAATTCATCTATGTTTTTGGCTATTAGATCATCACGAAGTAATATATTCTTCTCCTCATCATTACGACCATGCATACAGTAAAAATCTACAAGTACCACCATCGTCCGCTGATTATGTTTACGATTATCCGTCTAAAGGAACATCTTACTCCGAAAAGAGCTATCCAATCAATACTTCACCTACTGCGTATGGAAGAGGATACGCAGAACACGAAAATTTCTATGACGCTATTAGGAGGTATGATTTAGCATTTTACTACAAAATTTTAGTTGATAAATGGTTATTTGTATTTTAATTTTTAACTAATAAAACTTAAAGAAATAAACTCTGAAATAATGGAATATAATACAAAACAAGAAAATTTTTATTTCGACTACATATTTAATCCAAGTTCATCAATAAAATGCTCATAATTTCCGGAAATTTCAATACAATTATTCTTCTTTTTTCCTTCTGTATTTTAGGAAAATTAAGCGAGCGATCCTCAGCGTTCTTCTTTCTCCCGTTCTGTTAATATGTTGATTACTCTTTTTTTATACCCAGTTAATTAATGACTTCGACAATATATTATGTGGGTCTTGTACTTTCTTTCTTTTTCTTTTAGTGCCTATCCTCTGTGGATATTGGCAATCGCGTTGGTCCATACAACTTTGTTGACAGCTGCTCTAAATAGATCTATGGTAGTCATTTCCTGCCCACTGTCTGATGTTCGTCGGCCACGATGTCCTTCTGCGCCCTTGAGATCTTGTGCCTTCTATCTTGCCTTGTAAAATTAGTTGAATTAGTTGATACTTCTCATTGCGCATCACATGCCCTAAGTATGCCATCTTTCTGATTTTTACGATAATAATTTACAGATCTTTATTCATACGTTGAGTCACGTTGTTGTTTGTAACATGATGCATATAGAAAATTCTGAGCATGCGGCGGTAGCACCACATTTCGAAGGCTTCTAACCGTTTGGTTTGTTGCCTCCGTCAAGGTCTAGGCTTCGCCTCCATATAAAAGGGTAGAAAATACATAGCATCTCAAGAGTCGTGTTCTTATATCAATGTTTAGGTGCAAATTACATAAAATCTTTCTGATGCGATTGAAGACAGCTCTCGCCTTTTCTATACATCTTATTTCCTGTGATTGATCCCATTCCTTATTTAGGCTGCATCCAAGATATACAATTTTGTCGACTATTTTCAAGGGTTCATTATTAGCTGTGGATTGGTGTTGTATTACGTCGTTTTTACTTACTACAAGAATTTTGACCTTCTAAAGGTCGATTCAGACACATCAGTCCCGTCATAGTCTCGGCGCCGAACCGATCCTGTTTGGTCACAGAACTATCAACTATCTGACAGCTGGGAAACTGTCAACTGATGAGTGTGAATGCCGGCAACATATTTGTATTAAAGAATATTTTGTATGACGGATTGTTCACTTCGGCGCAATTACTGTGACGAGACGTGACTGATGTGTCTGAATCAACCTTAACAGTTTAATTTCTTGCCGTATCCGTCACAGGCTTCCACTGCACGGTCTATTAATGTTTGCTGATCCTCTGCATTATCAGCAATCAAAACCGTATCGTCTGCATATCTTAAATTGTTTATAATTTCACCATTAATATATATATATATATATATATATATATATATATATATATATATATATATGCCGGTTTAGAACGTCCTTCTCCGTTGTCCGACACCTAACTTCCAACCTCTTCTATCGTGGCAATCTTCCGTTGATAGATTCTGTTCGCTCATTGACTTTTTTATGTTTTGCTGCTACTCTAGTTTGGGTCTTCCTTGCTTTCTATTCCCTATTGGGGTCCAGTTCAGTATTTTTTTGGGCCATCTAGTATTTTGCATTCGCTCTACGTGTCCGTACTAGGTAAGTTGTTTCTTTTCGATATCCTGAATTATCGTACCTTTCATTCCCATTCGTTGTTTTATATGGTCATTCCTCATTCTTTCTCTGCGTGATACTCGCATAGATCTTCATATCGCGTCCATTTCGACTGCCTCTACCTTCTTTTTTGTCTGTCTGGAATTCTCCATGTTTCCGCTCCATACAATAGGCTGCTCTTAACCATTGTCTCGTATATATTAAATTTTCTCCTTTTTGTTATCTCCTTGCTCCACAAGATGCCATTCAGACATCCTATTATCTTTTTAGCTGTAACTATTCGTTTTTCTATCTCTTTCACATCTGTTCCAGTATTGTCGAATGTGATACCTATATATTCATATTCTTGATATTGCAGAATTTCTTGACCGTTGTCCAACTCCAAATTTTCGCTCTGAGAGCCTACACCTAGATATTTCGTTTTATTTACGTTAACTGACAACCCCCTTTCCTCATACTCTTCTATCAGTTTTCTAATCATATATTGCATGTCGTCTTTGTCATTGGCCACCATGACCTGATCATCTGCAAACTGAAGAGTAAACAGGTATCTGTCAACTATCTCTATACCCATTCCGTGTATTTTCTTTTTCCAGTTCTTATGAAGGCTTCCACTATGAAGGCATCTGTGAGTTTTTTACCTATCTTAATTCTTGATTGTGAATTTTCATACAGTTCTTTAAGTGCAGCTATATAGTTGTGATTGATGTTCGTTTGTTCTAATACCTTCCACAGTCTCGATACTGGGACTGTATCATATGCTTTTTGTAGGTCCACAAATGTAAGATGGGTTTCCAGATGTCTAGCAGATCTCTTCTCTATGACTTATTTTAGACACAATACGTTGTCGGTACACGATCTACCTGCTCTAAGCCGCTTTGATCTTCTTCTTCTTTCTCTTTATAGTCTCCTTCAATTAGATCTCGCAGTATTCTACTGTATAGTCTGCTCAGTGTACTCGTGATTAATACAACTCGATAGTTGTTACAGTCCAGTTTATTTCCTTTTTTATGGATGGATGATATATAAGCTGTTTTCTAGTCTTCTGGAACAGGATGTTCATTTAGGCATTTATTGATAATTATTGTTAGATTTCTAAAGAGTTTTTCCGTTCCCCATCTTAACATTTCGGAGAAAATCCCTTCTGGTCCGCTAGCTTTTCCTAACTTAAGGTTCAAAACTGTGTTTTTTACTGTTTCTTCGGATACCTCTACTTCTTCTCCATTTACTACAAAATTTTTTGGAAATTCTATCATGTATTTTGTCTAGTTTCTTGTAGTAGACCTTTGTAGTGTTGTATCCACTGCTCCGGTTTGATTATCTGGATATTTGCTCTGTCCTTTGCTGGGTTTTTGACATTTGATATAAATTTTCATACCTCCGAGCATTTCCTTTCTCCGATATAATTGTTAACTTCTTCACATTTCTTATCCCACGTCTCGTTCTTAGCTAAATTAATTTCCGCTCTTAATTGTCTTTTTGTTTGTTTATAATCTTCCAGATCTTGTTCATTTTTTGTTGCCAACCATTTTAAATATTTTTCTTTCTTTTCCTTAACTAGTAACTCTATCTCCTCGTTCCACCAGTATTTTTTGTTGATCTCCTTTGCTTTCATTCCTACTGCTTCTCTGGTGGCATTTCTTAGACTTTCGATAACGTTCTCATAGATTTCATAAAAGGTGCATTCTTCCGCATTTGATTGTTTGCTGTCAAGGCGCCTCTGATAAAGAAATACCGTACTTTCATCGTTAAAACTTTGAAAATTATACTTTGTTGTACACATTTCGTCGGTAAATACGGAATCGTTGTTATGTTCATCTTTGTCCTGATTTGTTCTTCTAAATTTTATTCTTACTTTGGCTCTTACTAAAAAATGATCTGATCCGCAAGTGAGTCCTCTCAACACTGTTACGTCGTTCACTTCTATATTTGTTTCTTGTTTACGTATCACATAGTCAATGATGGATTTTAGGTTGCGGGTATTCTGTGTCCATGTGTAGCGGTGAATATCTTTCTGTTTAAAGAATCCATTGTTTATTCTGAGATTGTGGGTTTCGCACATATGTATCAGCCTTTGGCCATTATCGTTGGTTACTTCTTACCCAAATGGGCCTACAACTGGGCTATTGTTCATCTTTCCCGTTCTTCCATTGAAGTCCCCTATCATTATAATTTCTTTATTTTTTCCAATATTTCCTAGGATTTCGTCAAGTTTGTCAAAGAACTCCTGTTTAATGTCTGTCGTCTGAGGGAGTATATGCCATGATAATGGCGATGTTATGGCCGTGTAGTTTTAAGTTTACCGTTAAGATATTTTCATCTACAGCTTCCCAATTTGTAATTTTGCTTTTCCAGTTTTTCTTTATTAATATGGATACCCCTCTAGCTGCTCTTCTTTTCTTTGGAACTCCAGTAAAAACTTGAATATATTCTCCGATAACTCCAGTACCATGTCCTTTTTTCTTGGTCTCTGTTAGTGCTACTACATCGATGTTTAGTTTCTGGATTTCTGATGCAATGATATCCGTTTTTAGTCTAATACCCTGTACGTTCCACGTAGCGAAACTCATATTCCATTTTCTTTGCCGTGTCCGTCGTCTATTTGATCCGTCAAATGTTCCGACGCTTCTTTTAGGTTGTTTGGTAAGTTTAGATTTTTCCGAGTATTAGAGAACCAGTCTAATGCCTCAACCCCCATCCTTGAGGGCCAGGACAGTTTTTGTTTCACCATGAGTATTTTATTTCCTCACTACCCTCTGAATCTACTGGCTTGTAGACCCAGCGAGCTTCCCCTAATTCCCATAGGGACGCACCCGATGGAGGTAACTGTCAAATTCCCTCACGGGCCATTGATTTTTATACCGTATTTTAAACATTCAATAGCTTCCCTGAACAGCATGTCCGAGTAAGTATTGAACAACTTCGGTGATAAAATGCAGCCTTTACGTACTCCCCGTTTTAACGTGAATTCTTGTAAGGTTTCGTTGTCAACTCGTACAGTTGCCCTTTGCTATAAGTATAAATTTTTAATTAGGCGTAAATCTCTGTCATCAATACTAGATCTTTTTCAGTATCTGAAATAATTTTAGATTTTGCACCCTGTCGAATGCTTTTTCAAAGTCTCCAAAGCATGCGTAGACTTCGCAATTTACATCTCGAGCTTTGTGTATCAATACTTGTATGGGAAATAGGGCCTCTCACGATCCCAGTCTGTTCTAAACCCAAACTGAACAATGCTAATGTTTTCTTCAAGTTTTCTATATATGCGAGAGTGAATAACAGAAAGAAGAATTTTGAGTGCATGGCTCATTAAGCTTATAATTCTGTAATCAGAG